GTTAGATAGATAGAAGTAGAGCAAATAGAAATATACCATTTAAAATATTTACTTCATTTTATTTAAGTCAAATTGTACAACATTGTGCAAAAGTTTTAAAGCCTCCAAATACTTTCTTTTTAGAAGTAGTTTTGATCAACAGTCTTCCAAACTTTCTGAATGTTTTAAAACAGTGTATCATTAAAAAAAGAGGAAAGTGGTCAAGAGCAGGACAAACGAACAAGTGTGAGGTCCAATCAACCAATCAATCAATCAATTAATAAATAAATAAATACAGCAATGATCAGCATCTGAAAATCTTTAAGACAGGAAGTAACAAGGACTTGACCCAGGACCTGGGTGACACATCTTCCTTCTGTTAGGGTTCTTGTCATTTTTGTTTTCCGTTATGAATATTTATTTTTTCTGCTCTTTTTCTAATTATGCGGTTCTGTTGTGTTCATCTTAGTTTAATTTATTGTCACCTGCATGCTTATTCAGTCCTGTCTTGTTTTCCGTCCGTCACATCACACATTGTCCTGCTCTGTTGTAGTTTTGCAGCTTTAGCACAGTCAATTACACTTACAAGAACAAAATATCTATGACTGAAACTTGTGTCCATACAGTGTAGTTAGTCTATAAATAAAGCCAATGATTTCCACAGCCTGCAGTCTTGCTCTGCATTCATTCCTCTCAATAACTATCACTCTCAGACCAAGACATCTTCGATTGAACGTCCTCTGCACGCCAAGTTATCAACTAACAACTCTCTGGAAATCTTGTTGGTGCTAAAATACTATTTTATCTTTGTCAAACAATTGTTAACAGTGAAAAAAAATTGTGCCTTTGGGAAGGACTTCTAGTAGCAAAACTTTATTTGAAAAACCTTCAGAAAGCCTTTAGAAATATTGATTCAAAGCAGTTTCTTTATGTAGTCAGACGTTGTCTCTTTTGGATCCCTGCACTTAATTTAGCTATGATGCAACTAAAAACTGCAGATGTTTCTTGAGAAAAATTACATCAGCAGCAGTTTGCTTGTCTCTTGTCAAAACAGAGCAACAAAATTATAAGTATTATATATTTAGGTAAGGTTTTTTTTTTATTTTCTTGAAGGCAATTTAAATCTTAAAGAGAATAACTTTAAGGCAAATGTACTGTAATTGTAGGCCTGTCGTGATAAACAATAAATCAATTAATCGCATGATAAATGAAAATTATCGACCTCATTTTCATTCATCGGCTTGATCATTTCTTCGTGTCTCTCTCTTTCTACTGAAGACACTGGATGACAAAAAGCTCAACTCCGGTGCTCTTCACTGACCCCTCCCTTTCTCTTTTCTCTTTAAAATCTGATGTAATCGTCCAAAATCGCGTTTTTGGATCGTTAAAAGCAGCTAAGCTGAGAAGCTAAGCTACGAGCTAAGCTAACAGGCCCACCTCTGGGAAAAAACCTCCGTCTTGTCGAAGATCCAAAATTCATGGTTGAAACCCATGCCTTCATGTAAAAAGTTGTTTTTCTCTGCAAAAAGAAGCTGGGAACTTGTTTACTGTTTTTTTTATCAAAAGCTTTGTGTGAAAAATGCTATGCTAAAGAGCTCAAACCACACTGAGCGTCTGCCATTTTGAGAACCAAAAAAGGACAGACAGATAGCCCATGTCAAGTCAAGAGGCCTCCCTCCCGGTTTTTCTTAAAGAGACACGCTGCTCACTCCCTCACTATCTTTGGTTCAAACTGTCTTATACTGCCATCTGGTGGTTGAAAAAAGGCACTACACACAAAACAAATTTATTCTTACATTTGACAATAATTACAAATTATTGTCAAATTTCAAACAATATTATCATTTATCGCAATAATTTCTGAGACAATTAATCGCCCAGCAAAATTTGTTATCGTGACAGGCCTATGTAATTGTGAACAATAACCTTTGAATGTTTAGCTTAAAACATGCTTCCCATCAAGAATTTCTTATACCGTATTTTTCGGACTATAAAGCGCCACTTAAAATCCTTAAATTTTCTCAAAAATCAACAGTGAGCCTTATAATCCGGTGCGCCTTATGTATTAATTTTGGTTGTGCTTACTGACCTCGAACCGATTTTATGTGGTACACGGCGCTCAAAAATCTGTCAAAATGTTTTAGTTTCGCTTAATGCGCCTTATAATCTGGTGTGCCTTATAGTCCGAAAAATATGGTAGATACTGTTGTTTTTATTTGCTCATGTGACAAAAGACAGAAAAGTGGAGACGGATGAACTGAAAACACAAAACACTCCAAGCAGATGGCTTCTGAAACTAACAAACAAACAAAAGTGACAGTGAACAGTGCCTACAGAGCTAAAAAAAAAGAAGTGAAATGAAAGCGCAAACCTGATTCGAGGCGGCAGAGTCAGCGAAAGGAACACTGATGCCTGGGGTCGAGGCCGACGAGAGAGTGGAGGAGGTGGCACCGTGCATCATGGGAACTTTTATTCAGACGAGTTGGACAAAAGAGGACGAGGGTATGGGCGTGAAGGAGGAGAGGGGAATAGGAATGATATGGTTACCATGGAGGAATGTGCAGAGTTCAAAACAAAACGTGGCACAGGAGCTCGAGTGACGTTCACAAGATGAATGTAAACAGATAAGGAGACATGCAAACAAAATAAGAGAAAGAAAATTACATATTTTATTAGCTAACCAGTTAAAAAAATGAAGAAAAATAGAACAATCATACAATCTTATCAGACTGAAGTATCTGATAATTGTATTTAATGAGCTGAGCATGTGTATGAAAAAAAGCAAATGATCCAAAAACTAAATATATTTGGCCAATCTAAAACAACAGCTGGCTTTGAAGATGAATTGATGACTTTTTCTTGTTAGATTAGTTTTTTTAATCTATTTTATATAACTAGGGTGTTGTTACCACCACAAGCTGAATTTAATAAAAGCTTTATCATTTTTAAATAATAAGAATGCTCACTAAAAACTATTTCTCTAATGTATTTATATACATTTAAAACAGCAAACGGCTCAATTTTTCAGAAACGACATAATGCTGAGTTTTAAGAAATATGTCCTAATAGAAACCATTTGTTCCAGAAACTTACAAACAGTATGGCTCTACTGAACCAGCAGTTTTTTTTTTCTTTTTAGATCGGTTTAAACGTAGAAATATTCTTATTTATTCTTTTTCAAACACGGAAGTTTACTGCAAATGGAGATGCCCTTGTTGCATCTTGGACTGAAAATGTCCAGTTAGTTACTCTGGTGTCAAAACAACCACGTCTGCACTCATCAGAGCTTAGCATTTTGAGGAACATTAGATGATTTTAATATTAGAAACAACAAAACACTAACTGTTCCATAAAGTGACGCATTTTCATCCGTGAACTTGTGTCAGGATCCTCACATTTTCACGTACTGGTCACTCTCTTGCCCCATGCAACCATCCCAAACGATCAAAGTCATTCACTTAACAACTCCAACACACCAGAACCATTAGGAACACACACATGTCAACTGAACTAAACTGTCCCAAACATACACACAACTACTGGACCTTAAATTGATTAAACATAGAAGCATTGAAAACGTTGATTTTCATTTAAAGAACTTTGTCTGATCAAAACTTTGAAACCGTGTTTTTCTTGAAAACAAGGAAGTAAAAAAAGTCAAATGAATGCTTATTATTTTTGCTTTTCTTCTAACTCCTATTCTTTAATAATAAAAAGGTCATCCTTCCTCAGTCTGTGTCACAATCAGGGATTTTTGGTTGCTTTGTGACAGTTTCAGTGTTCTCTGTTTTGTGTTATTTTCTATTCCTTTGGTCTATTTTGTTCCCATGTGTTTCGTTTTTGCTCCCTTGTGTTTCATTTTTGTTCTCGTGTTTCGTTTTTGTCCCCTTGTGTTTTGTTTTGTTCTCTTGTGTTTAATTTTTGTTCCCTTGTGTTTAATTTTTGTTCCCTTGTGTTTTGTTTTTGTTCTTGTGTTTAATTTTTGTTCTCTTGTGCTTTGTTTTTGTTCTCTTGTGTTTCGTTTTTGTCCTCTCGTATTTTGTTATTGTCCCATAATGTTTCATTATTGTCCCCATGTGTTTCGTTTTCGTCTCCTTGTGTTTAGTTTTTGTTCCCTTGTTTTTTGTTTTTGTTCTCATTTCATTTTTGTCTCCTTGTGTTTTGTTTTTGTCCTCTTGTATTTCGTTATTGTCCCATAATGTTTTGTTATTGTCCCTTCGTGTT